GTAAGAAAATGTTAGGATGGGGGAAGAACCCTTGAGGGATGATAAAGGAAGGCTAGTATCTGATGATTATGAGATGGCTGGGTTATTAAATTTTGCTTTTTCTTCGGTTTTTACTAATGAAGATTTAAGCAGTATTCCATATCTTGAATAGTTGATAAACAGAAACAATATCAAACAAGATGACTCCATTAATTCTGAGCTGGATTTTAGTTTGTATCAACAGAAATATTGAATACAAGTCTAATGAGGTTATAATTTCATTGTACAGGTCACTGGTTAGGCCACATTTGGAATATTGTGTTCAGTCTTGGGCTCTTTACTTTAGAAAAGACATTGAATTGTTGGAAAGGGTTCAGAGAAGGGTTACTAGAATAGTGCCTGGGATTGAGGGGTTGTCACAAGAGGAAAGACTGAAATCTTTCAAATTTTCTCTTGAAAAAGGAAGAGTTAGGGAGGATCTGATTGAGGTGTTTAAGATTGTAAAGGGAATTGATAGTGATGATGCATCATCTTTTTTAATATTTAACAGTGAGAATAGTAGGACTAGGGGACACAAGTATAAATTTTGTCAAGGTAGGACAATCATTAGCTGTCATCTTCAGCTAAAACAGTTTCATTTTTGTAACAGGGTCGTTGACCTTTGGAATGGGTTGCCTTCAGATGTGGCAGAGGCAGTGAATTTAAGAAAAAGCTTGTTAAGTATATGAATGATAAGGGCTGATTTTTTTTAAAATTTAGTTTAGAGAATTGAACAGACTAGATAGACCAATATGTCCCATGTTGTCCCAAAATGTTATGTTAATTTGTGCTGTTGTTCTGCTACCTTGACATTCAATAAATTCTGCATTTCAAGGTTTTGTAAGGAACTGTATTCCTTGATTTGAAAGATAGCTATCATTCCAACATCTGCTGGTAGCAATGACATTATGGAAGACACAGAGGTGCCTCCCCTCCTGAGAGTTGAAGAAATGTTGAACACCTCAGCTTCTTTTTTTTTAACAAGTCCCACCATCAGTGGCTGAGTAAGATCTTAGCAATTTATTAAACTACAGAGTTAGGTCATTCAATTTCAACCTATGCTACAGCTTTACTTAACTGTGGCTTAAATCTTCAAGACGTATATGTGCTATCGAAATATGGTACCAACTCTCCAACCCTTTAGTAAATGTAACACAAAAAAATATCATTTATATCTTAAATGATAAAATATAAGCACAATCCAAGTTTAAAAATGAAAAAAAACAAAACATTATCATAGGATAGAAGAAAAATTTCTCACCCAAATGCATAGACATCAGAAGCAGTAGAAAAAGGTAAGTCAGTGTCATCTGGTTGATTACCTGCTTTTAGACTACGAATAACTTCAGGAGCTAAATAACACAGCCAACCTTTTGGAATTGTCAACCAATCACCCTTCCTGAAAGTTTAATAAGTGCTGCTTACTTTAATGATAGGAAACATATACATCAAAAATTATTACTTACGACTAATATAGATTTCTGTAAGTTACAAAAACATTTCTGACAACTTGATGATATATCTATTAAATCTATATACATGAAAACATACACAAATAGCTCCTCAAAGTTGACTTTTATAATAATTTTAATGGAGTTGGTTAACGTTTTAGAGGTTATGCACTTCAGATCTTTCAAGTCAAAAGCTTTAAGTCAATTAAAAAGTTACAATGAAAATAATTAGCTAATAACATTAAGTAATGTACCTACCGGTTGCCTTGGCACAACTTGGTCACAGAGAACAGACCAAAGTCTGTAATGACAACCTTTCCATTTTCATAAAATATGTTTTTGGTCTTCAGATCCTTGTGAAGGATTTCTCTAGCATGAAGGTATCCCATACCCTAAGTAAACATGACTATGGTCAAAATAAATATTTTTCCTCTAAAGAAAAAAACATATGGTTTAAAGCATAAAATATGAACAAAAGAGCATTCTTCTCTTCCCTTCAACTAACATCAGGATGGTTTATTATAAAACAATATATTAACAGTCTTCCACAGATCAGTGAATTTGCTTGTACAATTTGGGAAATTCAAAACATAGTGTATGTATCATTCTCACTACAGTCCTCATTGTTCAAATAAACTAATAACATCCATGGTTGTACTTGTCTGGGAATCAACAAGTAGCAATTTATTGAAATTTTGATAATTTGCCTCAATTTACTTTTGAACATTAAAAACTGTCATATTAATCTGGTAATAAAGCATTTATTTTTAAATAAAATTTCCACTGCTATACAGTTTTCAAGATTATACTTAGAAAAGGCTTAGAACCATGTGTTATTATAAGTAGAATTGTTGCTGATAATAATTTTTAATCAGAGTAAGCTATGTACTTAGTGAAAACCAGAAAACAGTCTGGACATCAGTAAAGCTAATTAAATACACTTTTCTTATACATCTACATATCAAGATCAGAATTAATTGTTTCATCTGACGGGTATCATTGCCATTAACGATATTTTCTGCTGTAATCCCAACAGTAACTCATAAGCTTTAGCCAACTCAGGAGATTTAAGATCCTAAGTAGATATTACAAGCTAACAAGACAAAACAAAAAAGTAATTACATTTCACATACTGACTATTATAACCAATTTTGTTAATGAAAGTGAGTTACGCTTCAACAACATTACTTACCTGACCAACAGTTCTTACTTGACACACTCACTAAGAGAGTATGCTGAACAACAGTTCTTACCTTAGATACTGAGTTAGTGAACAACAGGTATTATCTGACACACTCACCAAGTTACTGAACAGTAGCCTTTACCTGACATACTCACTCAGTTATGCTGAATAATAGTTTTTACCTTACATACTCACTGAGTTACTGAACAATAGTCCTTACTATAGATACTCAATAATTTGCTGAATAAGTTTTTATTTGACACACTCAATGAGTTACTGAGCAACAGCTTTTACCTGACACTCACTGAGCTACAGAAAAAGTTTTTACGTGACACACTCACTAAGTCACTGAACAACAGTTCTTACCTTACACACTCACCAAGTCACTGAACAACAGTTCTTACCTTACATACTCACTAAGTCACTGAACAGCAGTTCTTACCTTACATACTCACCAAGTCACTGAACAGTTCTTACCTTACACACTCACCAAGTCACTGAACAACAGTTCTTACCTTACATACTCACCAAGTCACTGAACAACAGTTCTTACCTTACATACTCACCAAGTCACTGACCAACAGTTCTTACCTTACATACTCACCAAGTCACTGACCGTTCAGTGACTTGGTGAGTATGTAAGGTAAGAACTGTTAGCAGTTCTTACCTTACATACTCACTAAACTACAGAACAACAGTTTTTACCTGACACACTCATCAAATAATTGAACAAGTTTTTACCTTACATACTCACTGAGTTACTTAACAACAGTTCGTACCTAACATGCTCACTGAGTTACTTAACAACAGTTCTTACCTTACATACTCACTAAACTACAGAACAACAGTTTTTACCTGACACACTCATCAAATAATTGAACAAGTTTTTACCTTACATACTCACTGAGTTACTTAACAACAGTTCGTACCTAACATGCTCACTGAGTTACTTAACAACAGTTCTTACCTTACATACTCACTGAGTTACTGAACAACAGTTCTTACCTTACATACTCACTGAGTTACTGAACAACAGTTCTTACCTTACATACTCCCTGAGTTACTGAACAACAGTTCTTACCTTACATACTCACTGAGTTACTGAACAACAGTTCGTACCTAACATACTCACTGAGTTACTTAACAACAGTTCTTACCTTACATACTCCCTGAGTCACTGAACAGTTCTTACCTTACATGCTATGTCACTGAACAACAGTTCTTACCTTACATGCTGACTCAGTTACTTAACAACAGTTCTTACCTTACATACTCATTGAGTTACTGAACAACAGTTCTTGCCTAACATACTCACTGAGTTACTGAACAACAGTTTTTGCCTAACATACTCACTGAGTTACTTAACAACAGTTCTTACCTTATATACTCTCTGAGTCACTGAACAACAGTTCTCACCTTACATGCTATGTCACTGAACAATAGTTCTTACCTTACATGCTGAGTCACTGAACAACAGTTTTTACCTAACATACTGACTGAGTTACTTAACAACAGTTCTTGCCTTACATACTCACTGAGTTACTTAACAGTTCTTACCTAACATACTCACTGAGTTACTTAACAGTTCTTACCTGACACACTTGCTGAGCTATTCTGATTGTCCTACTGAGATTGAACTTCTCCTTCCTGACATGTATATGTTTATATAATGTCATTCCTTTACATAAACTGAAAAGATACGTGAAAAATTTAGGTTTTTAATTCCCTGTACTACTTATAAAAACTGAAATAACATGTTTTACTGTTTCTCAGACAAACTGGAGTTTGTAGTTGGACTGGTACAGACCATGAATGGGCAATAAAAACATTATTATACTTTAAGGTTAAGAAATACTGTAAGAAAAAAGTATCAGAACGAAAGTTTGCATTAAATCATATCAGCTGTATCAAATTAGTATAAATGTGATACTGCTAGTTGCAACACCTCGTAGCCAACTGTATAGTTGTTTTACAACAAACAAGCAAGCTGAAGAGCTCCATGTTCAAAAATTGTTTCTACATAATTAGTAATGCACAACATGTTATATATGAAATGTTTTTTTTAAGTAATACACAAACTAGTGTTGTATAAATGTTGTTAGCTTTCATCCATGAACTGGAACCAATTTTCTGCTTTTCATTATTAACCTTGAGATTATAGCAAGTCATATATATGTCAGCTTTTTACCACTAACTACAGCTAATCAAGTAAATGTTAGTTTTTTACCACTAACTATAGCTAGTCCTGTAAACATCAGCTTTTTACCACTAACTATAGCTAGTCCTGTAAATATCAGCTTTTTACCACTAACTATAGCTAG